GCGACGTCCGATCTCCGTCCGGGGTCAGAACCCGGTCAGAGTAGGGGGTTCCCCCGGTCAACACTACAACCAGGCTCGCGGTGCCACCCCGCCAGGTATACACCCTAAGCCAACATAAAACAGCTTTTACGTAATATTAGAAAACTAACCGCGATCGTACTCAAAGGCACAAGTCATAAATTGCCGATATATGTAAGTACGCATAAATGTTCACGCTCCGCAGAACATTACGAACGTTGCACTGACCGCTATGACTATGAGCAATCGATAATACAATAGGCTGTCGATCACGTATTACCAGGTCTGTTTTTATAACACTTCATGTACAATTCCTTCGATGAGTTTTTACAACATATTTAAAGGAATGCGCGCGGAGGTGTTTCGAGTTCTTTGGACACATTGCCAGAAAGAAAGGTGACAATATAGAGAAGCTGCTGTCACAGGCAAGTTATTCGGAAGAAGCTGCCCAGAGGCAGAAGTCCAAGTCCACGTTGCTATCCACACAGCCGAGGATAGGCAGGAGTGGCGCAGGATAATCCAGAAGAAAGTTATTAAAGGAGGCCATGACTCTCAGCATTGAGGATTATCGATACAAGGACTCCGGAGGAAAGGAATGTAGCATGTAATTCGCGTATATGGTAACACGTACATCACAAACACCCAATATGAGGTCAGCAGATGGACTTCAGCAATGCCAGGGACAGAGCCAAGCCGCTGCCTACCGTTAAGTATTCTCCACAAGCCTCGTTTGAAGAAGGACAAGCCATAGCGCTCGGGAAACACCGTGGAGGGGAGCTCATTCCAAACCCGGATGGTACGTGGCAAAAAAGATCTCTGGAAACGCACTGTGAATGAACGCAGTGGCTCCAGGTAGTATGGATGAACTGTAAAACTGTTATAGTAGTTCATGAAAATGGATGTAAGAACGTTACTTGTATACCGCCGTCTGTTCGTTTAAAGTACATTTAATCATCAAACACGCAATCCTCATTATCTATAATAATTACTAATAATATAAACGTAAAAGCTTGTATATTTGGATGTTTGTTAGCCATGCGAAAAACGATGAACGGATTCGGACGAAATTTCACACAAAGACGAGAGTTTATAGCCTGTGTTAACTCATTTTTATCATGATATAATATGACCCGGGCAACACCGGGTATTTATGCCATTAAAAATACGACAACTCTGTTTGTTGGTTAGTGATTTTACCTATAAACAGATGATTTTAAATTCAGATCATTGTCAAATAGAATCTTTTTCATTCTTTCTGAATAATAAACTAAGCACGGGTGATACGCGGCGCGTCTAGTGAATAATAAAAATCAAACGAAATGAACAATTAATGAGGTCAAGAATGATAGAAACCGCTGTATAAATAATTATAAATAAACATTTTTCTGATAAATAAACAGGTCAAATGATAATAACGGATTAATAAGGGGACAAAGTTTTTTGTTGGCTTGAATAGGTTAACCACTTTATGGGTCATCATCAGACCACGGACGTCCATTGCTGGATACAGGCCTATGGCCCTGGTATGTGCAATTCCTCGTGAATGCTGCGTGAATGAATCACACACCGTGAGCTATATCTAAGTGTTGGCAATTTTAAAATTCGTTCTTGAAATATGATTAGGATCTTATTGATCACTTGCTTTGTCCTACTTGTTTAGACGTTAACAAAAGATAAGTAAAGTCTTAGCTTTAACCTTATCTAAGCGGTATCGTATGTAAAACAGAATCCTAATATGGACAAGATAAACGAATACATTCAGTAAAAATTTCGATAATGTCTCGAAGTGGGTGGCGCATTTACGTTTTAGATGTCTATGGTCTCCAGTAAATACTTAAAACTAGGTGGGCCGTGACCTAGTCCACCCATCTAAGTAATAGAAAAAAATGAAGAATTTTTTTTTTACAAACAATGGCATTGAGCTAGCTATGAATATTTTTAACAGAAATCCACATGTTTTGTGTCAGTGTTGATGAGGTAAAATTAATATTATCATCTTACATTTATAATAAGGGGATTTTGGTTTCAAAGATGTATAAGAAATTAAATATTTTTACATATCAATTTGTTCAGGCTTCCCAATAATATGAAAGGCCATGTGGAACCCAAACAAAAATATCTCATTTTACATTCAAATCAAAAACAGTATCTTTGCCAGAATACATAATATGATCTTATTTCTCATCTTTGTAAGACACAAACAAAAAGATTGCTGTTTTTGTTTACAGATTATTACGATATAGAAAGTTGAATCCTGTTCATTAATATGTACATGGATTAATTGGTTATTTCATCTTATGTCATGAATGTTACAAATTTCAACTTTTCATAAAATAATCTTTGCTTAAATTGTCTTCCCCAAAATGTGTAGCAAGTATTCATGAGCAGAGTTCCTAATGATAATAATGAATTTTTAAATTGAACATTACTTTTTTATTTGTATCTCTGATTTCAATTAAATGCTCTAGGTCAGTGTTTCCCAACGTAGGGTCCACGCCCCACAAGGGGGCAATCGCAATAAATTAATATAGAAAATCTGTATTAAATTATTTTGAATTTGAATTTAAGTTTTTTATTATGTGTTTTGAAATATTACTTCTTGATAACAATTTCATAGTGATTTCTTCCTAAAACCTATCATTTATGTTTCGTAAGTGAACAAATATTTTTTTTTTTATGTTAAAAGTTATGTATGGGGTGGCATAAAAATTTTAGCACTGGGGCATAGCACAAAAAAGGTTGAGAAGCACTGCTCTACGCCCTTGCATTTTATCATAATGTCTCTCTCTCTCTCTATCTGTCTCTTTTATGAGTGTTAAAAGGTGACTGAATGATTTGTCAAGTTCCAGCAAGTAACTGTTGCTCATATAAAATGTATGCAATGTATGTATGTATAAAATGTAAAAGTACCTTGCGGTGGCCATTACCACTTTACTCAGTCTATCAGTGCTTATGCTAAATATGAACACTGAAAAGTTTTGATATTAATTTTTTACTAAGTACTAGACTATTTAAAATTAGTTTTTTCAAACTTTAGTTTCTATAATGCGTGTAACAATAAATTATAAAAATGAGAAAAAATAGCACTCATTTATTTTAAACTAAAGCTATATTGTTACATAAAAACACATTCAATAAGCTAGTGGTTAAAAATAAAGCAAGTTTCATATCTTAATGGCAAGATTTACTACTTCCTAGTGTTGAGTGAGGACAATTGTCCAATTACGAGGATTTATTTTAGAACTTGCATTTTTAACTCTACTTTTTGCAATCTATTTATAACAAACTTATTAGTAGTAGTTTAAGATACTAATAATGCTGATTCAATTGAGGAAATTTATTAAGTACCTACTTGAAAATAAAAGAAAAACAGTAATGGCCTAAAAGTTGGGGAACTTCAGAGACACAAACTGATATTTTATTGGGAAATTATGAATAATATTCATGCTTAAGTATTTCTATTTGAAATAGGAATGTCTAGCGGTTCATTAGTGGTGGTAACAGAGTTTGGATAAATAAATTATAGAATTTTTAATTCTATTATACATTTTTTAATTATAAAACTGATTTTATTAAATCAGTTCTAAACATCATGTTGAACTATTGTTCAAGTCCTGATTGATTTGATGTTTTTAGAAAAAAAAATATACAAAATTATTAGTTTAAGAAACAAGTTTAACAAACAAAAACAAATAATGGCAAAAAATGAATGTCATTTTCAACTTTTCTACTACACCTCACATGTTAATTTTACTAAAACTAATTAGGGAGTTTGACCACACAATTGTTACCTTTATTTCATAATTTTTAGTGTTTCTGAATTAAGATGTTATTTTTAAAAGTAACATCTATTGTGTCTGTGTGTTTCACTCACAAAATCTAAACTTAATATAAAAAAGCCAGTGGGTTTCTATATAAGTAGGTCAATAGTTGATGTTTTTATGGAAAAAAAAAACATTATTAAAACAAGTCACCTACTGATTCTTATTATCAATCATTAACTTTATATAAATAGAAGTGATAAGATTGTGATTTACATTTGTGTTTACAAGATCATTGATTTTTATATTTTGTAATCTTTGAGACTTTAGTTGTTCTTCTACCCTTAGGCATAATATTATACAAAAAATTTAAACATATACATTAAAAAAAATGTTGAATTTGTTTCAGATTGAAATTTATGTATTTTTTACTCATAGTTTACTACAATTGAATTTATTTGTATAGGTAATAAGGGATGTTGCGAAATTGCATAAGGGAAACGCAAGACTGAAAAGAATGGAGTGCATATAAAAAGACCTACACTTAGCATTGCGTGGACACCGGTTGAAGAAAAAGATGATGGCATGTTGTGCAAAGAAATAGGTAAGTTCCACTGTGCTGACTTTCTCTCTCTTGAAGCAATCATCATTCATTCAATAATGCATTCTAGATTAAAGAGTGGTACAGCCATAAAACATGGTTATTGAAATTATAACTTCTTGTTTTCAAGTGGAGGATGCATTCAGATTGAGGTGTGGTTTTCTGACCCTTATTCATAACAAGAACTTAAATTCTACATATACACTGATAAAATGAGAAATAGTGTGTGAAAACTGTTAATCTCTTTCAATTCATATTCAATTTGTACTTTCATGATTGCTTTGTTTGTTAATTATTAAATTACTTCTAAATAAATAATAAGTAAGTTTAAAGTTTAGAATTTGCTTTTTAAATTAATTTATCCACTGAACATTAAGCAATACTGCAAGGGCCACAACCAGCCAATTGACAATCTTCAAAAAATTCCGTTCTATTAAAACTGAGGATTTACAAAGAATAAACAAAGGCATCAAAATCGATCATCGTACGTATTTCACAACAAAATTGATTTGTAAATTTAATAACATGAATAAAACTGAACTATAAATTGTGTAAGCAGAACATCTCACTCGTGGTATTTGTTAGTCGCAGTAAACAAAATAATAATAATCAACCGTTACCTTTCAAACGATCACAGTTCGAGGCAGGTCAACAGGAACAAAGTAGGTTGCTCTTGAACACGATATATTTTTTCCACGTGTTTAAAATACATAAACACTGTATACATACACTAACTACTAATTTTTTTAATATGTTTTCTTCACGATCTATCTAACATTTTTTAAAATCCAAAACTACAAAACTATTTGCAAAATAAAAATTCACTACATGCATTCATTACATACTATCATACAAGTAGGTAGCTCGCGAAAAATTTGACAGTTTTGACATTGACAGTTATTTCATTTCAAATCGGACATTCGGTTCCTATGAACAGATATACCGTAGGTAGGTAGTTAATTTCTGCAATGGACATCATGTTAGAATTGTAAAATGTTTGCAAATTACATAGTTTTATTAAAACGAGTGTTTGCATAGCTAATAATTTATTTTTGAAATATAAATCTAAGTTCTTTTCTACGATCCTTATTCCTGGATCGGCTCACTAATGCCACCTGTCGGCTGAGCATGGGATCACAAAATATTACTTAGAAATCACGCATTTAGTTCATGTTTAAGTCACAAGATGACTTGTTTTGTTATATTTTATTAATGCAAGAGGCGACCCATAGATTATACACTTAATATATTTGAGACGGCGACCGCATTCGAACGGTTGTGTTATAATTGAGGCCTATAAAATCAAAGGCAGCTAAATCCAAGTCTGTCAAATATTCAGGTAAACTACAAAATCGGCCCTAAACACGTCATTACGGATCCTCCCGATCTATCGAAGTACTGCTCTTGCTAGGGCCAGTGTTAGCAACACTCCCGGTTTGAGAAGCTGAAATAACTTTGTTCGAATAGCTACGATATTCTTTATTTTAAAGCAGATTTATAAAGAATGAGAATATTACTAATAATCTGAATTTTAAATGATAAAACTTCGTTTATTAGTACTTAGTACTGAGTAAAAATATTTTTTTTTGAATTAGCTGCATTTGTTATAACATGAAAACACTAAAGCGTGTCCAACTAACTAAACAAGATAACGCCATTGTTAATCCGTTTTACGACACTATGGCGTTTAGCTGCCTTTGATTTTATAGGCCTCAATTTAAAGTTATCTTTGATCCTACTTTATTTATTTCCCGAAATAAATTCGGAGTATTAATGTCTTATGCAATAATTATTGCATTATTAGGGCGATTAAAAACGAAATGACATGTGTTGGTTACATTTGTACTCACATGTGTAACTTTAATTGTAATGTACCTACTTTACATTTACCTCACTTACATGTGTTACTGTATTCAGGTAGGTAAATTTTATTTAATAAAAAACACGTAATTCAAAGGGCTAAATGAAACGGCACGATAAAAACTGAAACATTTTATTTCAAAGTATAACTCTTCATCATATACGCAACGTTTATTAAAATACACGTAACTGGAAGCCTCTAAAAATTTTAAACAACCTGATTCCAGACAAAATAAAGTAGCTTAAAAAATGGTGTAGCTTAGTTAAATTTAAAATAAGTTAGGAATAAAGCGTCTTTCGACGGAGGCCAGGAGATCACTTGAGGTTATTTTTCACCTAGAAACAAATTGAATTGTTAATTTTAAACTTATATATTAATTTTAACGTAGTACATTTTCATACATACTCGAAGATTGTACGTTTGAACGAGGATTTTGAATGTGCCAATTAGGTATGTATAACTGTGATCATAGAAGGCACTGTACTAACATTTCTAAATATTATTCACTTTCAAAGATGTATTTTAAATTTGATTTAAGTTGAAAATTCATACAGAATGAACATGCGTACTTATAAAAGTAAATCAATATCTACAGCTATGCTTATATCTAATAATACATGCATATTCCATTATTAACACTAGGAAGTTGTTTTAAAATAATAAATGTATATAGTTCTTTTATTGAGTTAACATAAATAAAAAGAAATTAGCCATCGCGTTTTACGTTTTCTAACCTACTGTAACTTTTTTTGCGTACAACCTTAAATTCAATTAAATTAATATTAAAATATGGCCCACGCATCAATACGCTGATTTCATGAAAAAAAAATTTGATAGCAATGTATTACATATAATAATATGTCAAATTTGGTATGAACACTTATAGTCGTGACATTTCACCATGGAAAGCTACACGCTTGTCTGACGGTTTCATCGACCCTTATTTCTTGAGATGATACCACAGATAACCCCCAACTGTGGATGATACGCAAGACGCCGCTCTCACTGTCAATGGCGACCGATATCGGACGACGATAACAAACTTTTTGTGGCCTAGGATAGATGGTATGGATCTCACAAACATGTGGTTCAACAAGACGGCGCCACTTGCCATACAGAAAATATCGCGCTCTTCGTGAAATTTAGCGCCATCTATGCGAAGATGTCATACAAAATTGGTCCAACAGGAAACACCATCTACAGCGGAGGCGCGGCGGCCATTTGGTTCAAATTATATTCCATACATAATGTCATCGAATACCCTATAAAATAAAATAAAAAAAAGTGTGTGTGTCCGCTCCGACGCACGACTGGAGTTTACTGGATATAAAAAATTAAACGAAACAATACGAGAAATAGTTCTATATTACGACAACACGATACACTACAGATTATTAACAAATTAACGAGACACAAAACAAACGACTAACAAATATATGAAAATACAATAATGAGAGAAACGCNTCGATGCCTGTGTTCAAATCCCGCTGGCAGGTACCATTTTTTGTAATGAAATACGTATTTAGCTCATGTTCATATATTATGACTTCAACAATGAAGAAATAACATCATGTAATCAAAATTAAACACGCAAAATGTGTAGTGTGCTGGCGAATCGGCTAGGTACCACTATTTTCATTTATTTTATTTCTTCGTTGCGATTTGAAAGGCGCCGCCGGTACCTATTGTACTATACAACTGAGACTTAAAACTCACGTATCAAGGTAAATTAAATTAAATTAGTGGGCAAGATCAAAACTTTTAACACAAGTCGCATAAAATTAAAAAAAAAAACACATGAATACTTACCTGCTTTTGCTCAAATATAAATTTCAGTATAAAGGCAATAAATTAAAACACTATGCACGTAAACATGCAGTAAAATACTAATAAAAAAAACACAAACATGCTTAACGAATAAACTTTATCATTAATAACTTTTTGATTGAATTTGGCACAAGGAAACATGAATTTGAAACTTATTTCTTGATTTAATATTCTGAATCAATACAAATTTATATAGAAATCAATCACTTCAAATTAATCCATAACAAATATTTACATCTGCAGTTCTGAATTTCAAGTAGTTACCAAAATAATGAATTTCGTAAATTTTACTATTAGGTACAATCACAGGTAAAGTATATTATTATTATATTTAAAAAATTAAATGATTTAAAAATTACGTCCTCCTCAAGGTAGGCTTAATTAGGTAACATCTTGTTATAAATAATTAAACATGCCTATTCTAAAGTAATTGAAATGTACAATGTGGCTTAGGCCAGAATCATAGGTCATGTAAAAAATATGAAAAATAAAAATTTATAATATTTGAATACAATTTAAAGTAATTAAATGTAACTCATTATAAGTATATATAATCAAGAAAAGCTTAGGAATTTCAGAACAATACGAATAGGTAACTAACTCATATTAATTATAAATGTTTAATATTACTATTGATCGCTCATTAGAATGTTACATTACATGTATTTCCACACCATAATAATAATGTTATACATATTATTTTCTCATAATTCGATACCCAAAGTAGACAATTTTGTAAATAAATTAATAGTTCTGATAAATCATTTTCACGGTGTGGAATTACTCTACGCTAAAATAATTGAACCGGATGCAGGATCGCGCGGGCTTGTTAAATAATTAGCATAGCGATTATCGTGATCATTGCTAGGAGTAAGCCGAGGAGCGTCAGCCAGTCGAGTTCTGGAAGGTGTTGGGAGAGCATCAGAGTGTACGTACAAGCTAACGTCAACGTGCCTGGGTCGCGCCAACAGCGCTTACGCTGCGGACTATCGCCTGTCACAACAAAAACGGCAAACTATAAAATAATAACGAAACTGACTGGTCACACACCAAGCTATAAGAAAATTAATTTTCATTAGTACTTAAAGTAGTCGAGATCATTGTTGAAAGTTATACTTTGAAAGCAAATGTTATTGTTTTTATAGCTTGGTGTTTGTCCAGTAACTGCAATTAGTTAGGAACTTAATTAAGTTTTGGGAATCTGATTGAGAAACTAGAACATAAAACAAAAAGCGGGATGCAAAATGATTAATATGATAAACATACACCATGCATAATAGCGGGCCACGTACCTCTGCTATCATTCTGTGAATTATTTTGCCTTTTAGATCTCCACGGCACTATATTATTTGGGAGTGAGCAGCTTTGACTAGGAGTATCATTTGCAAGGTCTACTGAAAGCCTTCTCAATTGCTGTGTCATAGTCTGAACTAATTTCGGAGAACTAAGTTCTTGTCGAACTTTATCATCCTTCTCATCTTTAGCTTCAGTTCCTTGCTTTTTACTACTTCGAGATTCATTGTTTTCACAAACGTTACTTTTTGTATTTGTTTGGCAGTTACTGTCTAATTTAAAGATGGTCGCTAATTCCTCGGAGGAGTTATATTCTGTTGAATCAGGGTCTTTCCTTTGTTCTAAGTCATCTTCGTAAATAGACAGATTAACGGAAGCCCTACAAGGCATTTCTTGTGTACTCTCGCTTTGTGATGTTTGCCGCAGTTTCTCGCTAGCTTCAGTAATGCTCGATATTTTCGAAACCTCACTCTTTTCACAGTTAGTTTTTGTATTTTTAGGTGAAAAAAGTTTTTCGTTGACCTGAGTTATGCCAGCTATCAAATCGGAGATTCCATCTTTTAATTCTTTGAATGCGTTTATTTCGTTTATCTGCCTTATTTGTTCATCGGTATTCAAGAAAGGGTTAAGACGGTTGACTACTGGATATTTTGGTTCGGGCTCTGATTGTACAATCACGTTATTAGCATGCTCTGGTTTGTCAACGTCACTATAAATATCAGATGAAGTTAAATCGTATTTTGATTTAACGTTTGGTAGAATAACTGTGGTTTCATCAGCTTTTGAATGTTCTTGTTCTTTAGGTACGTAACTAGAAAGTTTTAGGCTT